TGTGAGATGATCATCTAACGTAAACCCCAGATATTTATACAACCTAGTGTAGGATAAAGGTGCTGACCCACAAGAAAAAGTGAAATTGGACTGCACCTGTCCCTTCTTCCTGAAGTGCACAACCTGTGTTTTATCTTCGTTTATCCTCAACCTCCATCTCCCACACCAGTTGTACACAACATCTAATAACATTTGGAGCTCATTTTCAGACTCTGTGAGGAGGACTAAATCATCAGCGTACAGAAGAGAGCCAACCGTAAGGTCACCCAATCTGACCCCTATGGCTGTGTGCTTGATTTCTAATACAAGATCATTTATATAAATGGCATACAAGGTGGGAGAGAGTACATCCCCCTGTTTGACACCAGATGGAGTTGGGAACCAGCCCGTTCTATACTGATTAACCTGCACACAAGCCACTGGGGTCTGATAAATTGCTTTTAGTGCCTTGTAAAATTTACCATCTATTCCATTATTTAATAATTTAAAGCTTAGAAGACCTTGGTGAATACAATCAAAAGCTTTGCAAAAATCAATAAAACAACAACAAACAGATCCCCCTTCTTGTATTCTGGCATGAACTATAGTAAATAAAGAATATATGTGGTCAATACATGCTCTTTTCTTACGGAAGCCATTTTCTTCATCAGCTAATAAACCAAACATTTCCAAAAATAGCATCAGTCGCTCATTTAATATACTGGAATAGATTTTATAAACACAGCTTAAAAGGCTTACCCCACTATAGTTCATGGGGATTCTGGGATCATTGTTTTTAGACTTAGGGATTGGTTTTATAATAGATTTCTGCCAGACCGAGGGAAGAAAACCATAGTCAAAACAAATGGAGAAAAGATTAAGTAAAATGTAAAATAAACAAGGTAATTTCAAAATTTCATTCGATAAGTTATCAACACTGAGTTATTACAGACACCGCTAACGGCTAACAGCTAACGGTTAGCCCAGCTAATCTATGATAACCATGTTATTAATTACAAAATGTGCACACAGAAATAGTAATGTTTGTTCAATCATTGTGTCTATAGACTTTACAAACATCAGAATAGTCTAAACAGTGATATAGTGACGTGAAAAATGTGAGAGATATATATATAGCTAAACTCTGCTGGTTTTCTACGGGTCCATGTCATTGGTCCGACAGCCCATTGGTCCGACATCCCATTAGTCCGACGGTCCGCGGTGCTGAACGGCTCCCGGTGGGTGTATTTCTGCCTTGATGGTGCGCCGCGACCGGCTCTGGATCAGCTGGGAAAGGTTTGAGGCGGAGCAGGCTCACAGCTTATGTGTTTGTCACTTTCTTTTTCATTTTAACCCACACCATGATCTTTTCCTGACCCTAACCAAGTGGTTTTTGTGCCTAAACCTAACCAGACCTTAACCACAGGGCATCATGATGATTTCGGAACAACGGGTTTAATATGGTCAGAACAATGGGATGTTGTACCATTGGGCAGTTCCCGTTTTCTACCCGGAAGTATTTGTAAACAGCAAGGCGATTCCCTCTATTACATGTCCTTATTGAACAATATCAGCTCCATTTAGTCAACACACTGAGGAACAAGCTGTGTTGTAGATGTGCATCATTACAACCAGCTGGAAACACAGAATACATTACATTTGTACGTTTCACACGTATCATAACATCTCTATGAAATGTGGTTGTTTTTTACAGAGACTTCACTGTGTTTCCTGTCAAGATAGTGCTGCGAAAAGCAGTTAATATGTGTAACCGCAGATGTTAAAAACACCCTACTCTTGTGTGTGTGTTCTCAACATAAAACTAACCAACATGTCCTCATTTTGTGCTGTCAAAGTGTGCCACAAAAAGCAATTTGTTTTAAAGATATTTGGGGTTTTTTTGCCTTCATTTGAAAGCTGTAGCATGAAAGAGAATGAGAGGGGGAATGAAATGAAACAACGGGCTGCAGGTTGGATTTGAACCCACAGCTGCTGCAGCAAGGACACAGCCTTGGTACGTGGGGCGCCCGCTCTACCAGATGAGCTAGTGGGCATATTGGATATATGGATATTTCTCACTGAGACATTGGTGCATTTCCTGCTGTCATTGTGACCCTAAAAGTGGGTATCTTGAGCCAAAACATGAACTCTTCCCAACCATAACCAAGAGTTTTCTTTTTCTTGAAGCACATGTTTACCACAGCTTTGTTGAATCATGAAGAAAAGTTAAGTTTGAATGTATCCACTTTATAATAATGTGACAAATGTGACGTGGTTTGCATACACGTACAGTGCCATCATTCTGGTGATTGGCTCATGGAAACAACTTGAATGAGTCAATTATTAATTGCATAGAAATTCGTTGCATGTCCAGTTTATCTGCTCTCCAAACATCATTGTTACAGTGAATGTGGGATCTAGGATGCTCATTGGTCAGTGAGTGCCTGTTAGGTGAGTAGTGATTGGCTGACCAACCCATCCGTCATATCTGTGGCGTGGCTGCAGGGTGCAGACAGAGAGATACAGTCAGCCTGCTCTAACTGCAGCCAGACGCCTCCAGGAAACTAAAATCACAAGTCAGGTTTGTGTTGTAGCCGCAGGATGGGCTCCAACAGCTCCAGCATGAACAACATCCCCAATGCCCAGCAGCTCATGCAGGAAACTGGCTGTGAGTTCACATCTGTTGCTTGTTTTTGTGCAAAATCTGAGACAAAGAGCAGGTTGTGGGAAACTAGGAGCAGAGAGCAGAGAGCAGCCTCAACAGTCGAGTTCTGCAGACTAAAGAAAAAGAAAAATGGCAGCAATTATTTGAGTCTCTTGAGTTCAGTCAGTCGCGAGTCACGAGTCTGTTGGATGATTGTTCTGGACTCCAGTCATATTTTACCTTCATCTGAATACATAGCTGAAGTTTGAGGAGTTTAAATTCCTGACACAAAGGGTCTCTGCTCTCTGATGAATCATCACAGATAAACAGTCATGAATTCTGACTCTGAAGGACGGAGGCAGCTGTGAAACATGAAGCCACAGCTGACACAGAGGAGGTTTCCTGCTGGAATTGATCCATCAATAATACAAACAGACTGGAAACGTACCCTCCTGAGTTTGGAAACACTTTGCAACATTTCCACAGATATTAAAGACTTTAGTTGTGATTTAAGGGACAAAAACACCCCCTGGAAAATTCATTTACATCAAAACTGTGTCTGAATTTGAATTAGTGTGAGGTGGGTTGTGCTACGGCCTCAGTGTGAGCTCTCTGATAGCAGCACAGTGAACGCTGTTAAACTCATCAGTGTTGTTTCACCTGCTGTTTATCTCAGTTTGTGTGTGAACACCCTGAACTGTCCGCACTGATACAGACACTGTGGAGATTGTTTACCACAAACTGAACAGATAACTGCTCGCTGTGCTGCTCTGTACACAACCCAAGAGCCAGAACAACATGTTGGCATCGTACGTTTCTGAAGACCACGTTTATGTTACATTAGTTGTTATGTGCAGGGTTTCCAGGGTCATGGAAAACCTGGATAAGTCTGTGGAAATGACTGTGAATTTATTTTTTTAGCCACTGACATAACGTAGCTCTGTTTTGTCGGCTGTTGATCTTGAACAGTGGTCTGCATGTCACCCAGTCAGCTCATACACTGTGACACTTTTGAGACATTGATATGATCAGTATGAAACGTACAAATGTATCCGTGGTTGAAATGTGCAATGCCAACATTTTCTCCTGTCGACTGGGCTGACCCCGAGCATCAGTAACATCACTAGTATGTAGGATACTGAGCATTTCTTGGTCTTTGAATGACAAACAATCAGAATATTTGTCCATGCTTAGCTCATATAACAAATAAAACATTAAAAGTCAGTGTTCGTGTCAAGAACGATGTTTTATGGCAATTTCCGTGTTCTATCACCATCAATAAATGAGCAGCTCGCTCAGATTGTGAGAAAAGGAAGGCTATAAACTCTATTATATACAAGGTCCCCACAGTCATGGAAAACCTGGAAAAGTCATGGAATTTCACAGTCTCATCTTCCAGGCTTGGAAAAGTCATGGACTGTTATTGTTTGTAATGAAATTAATTGTTACCATAATCTTCAGGGGATAAACCTCCACATAATGTAACACAATGGCAAATTTATTTTCTGTAAGTTAGCTGTTGACGTAACGTAGCTCTACTAAGCGTTAACGTAGGGCTGCACTATATATCGTTTCAGCATCAACACTGCGATGCTCAGTAGTCGCCATTGAAGGACGTGCAATGTCAAGTAAGACAAATGAACTTAAACAACTTATTTGATGCTTGATACAAATGGAAAACTTGCACAGTTCTCATTTTCCAGGACTTATACCGGCCAAGCCTTCTGCTTTTAGACGTTATGTGTGTGTGACATAGTGTGGCGGTGTTTGTTATGGAACTCCCCTGTGTGTGTGTGTGTGTGTGTGTCTAGAGAAGTACCGTAACCAGGCCAGCAGGTGCAGCAGACACAGTGACGTCTGTGCTTTTCCAAAATGAAATTTCATTAAAGGTCCTTGAAAAGGTCATGGAAAAGGTTTGAAATTTTGTCCATGGAAATGAGGGGGACATGTGGTTAGGTTAAGGCAAGAAAACAAGTTGGTAGTAATTAGAAAAAGATCCCAGTTTTGTGGCACAATCAAACACAGCAATGACTCGCTATGACCTGTTTTGTTGTTTGTTGGTCTTAAACAATCTGCACCTTGGCAGGCATGTTGCCTAGGTGTTCTCATTCCCGCTCATCCTTTTCCAAGCCTTCATTTCTAGATTAATAAATCAGTACCCTGTAGATATCCTGTTCTCACAATCACTGAGTCATCTTTATTCCTGAGAGCTCAGTTACTGTTGTGTTGTAATGCAGCATCCAAGATCTGAGATTCAGCTCGCGTAGGGGCTCTAAAATGTTTATTTTGACCTTCGTATTAATAAGTCAAATTTGTTCGTCTTAACACACAACAAATACAACATCGTAACACATCAAATGTGTGTTAAGATGACAGAAATTACCCTGTTAACAAGAGCATGTCTGGCGTCGTAACACATTTAGAACATTAAATCTTCCATGGCATTGGTTGGCGTCAACATACCAACCCCTTTCTGACAGGGCTCCTGTTCGTGAGTAGTGTTGGCTACGTGTCTCACCTGTCTTCCACAAACTTCAGTGTAGTATTTGGGATAGTCCAAATATTAAATTGAAGTTGTGTAGAAGACAGCTGATAGGTAGGTAAATCTGCCGACTAACAAGTGCCCACATTGGTCAACACAGTCGCTACGTCAAAAAGGGGTTGGTTTTAATGCAAGAAACAACCTAACTCACACGATTTTCTTTTCTGACACACCACAAAGAATTACTTTCAAAATGGCCCCTGCTCATGATAAAGGCACTCAAATATAACACAGTGATAACTCAAAGCTGGATCGTCTGAATAACAGACTCGGAGACCACCTCTCCTGTGGTCTAAAGTGAAAGGTAACAGTATCGTGTGTTCTCTGCTGTGTGTTTCAGGAGTGCAACTTTCCAACACAACTTCTTATCATGAGTTTAAACAATATGGAAAAGTCAACACAGCAGCTGCGGTGTGAAATGTGACCTGCTGCAGAACGAACCACTGATATATCCAAGCTGTTGGTTGTGAAACATGTTCAGTGTTGTGGTTTCCCGACGTGACGTTTCCATCAATCAATCAAACCTTCTTTGTGTTTCAGTCTCTGCTGCTCACATCCTTCGTCTGTACGAGAGGTTTGAGTTTCTGGATAGCGACCAGAGAGGAGAGCTCAGGTCGGTGCGCTCACACACCAGTGTGCAGAAAAATGCTTCATGTAAACAACAGGCTGTCATAGTTATCACATCGAGATGTCCATGTGGACGAATTCTGTGTGAAGGAGCCAGATTAGGATTTTTGATCCTGAACACACGTGTTTCTAATAGAGAGAGTGAGAGCAGCCAGAGTTTATGGAATTTTTCTCCTATTTATTTATTGTGGTTTTTAACCACAAAATCAAAATGAGGAAGATCTGGAGTTTCTTTCGAGGTCCCTGCATTTTGAACATGATCAAACTCCCCAGTAAAGTGGTGTCCATTAATTAAGTCAATCAATCAATCAATCAATCAAACTTTATTTATATAGCACATTTTCATACAATAAATTGTAACACAAAGTGCTTCACAGAATAAAAAGACAAATGCCCCAGAACAATCTACATAAATGAAAGTATATAGATAAATAGAAATAAATTGCTAAATAGATAACTTTAAAAGCATATAATATATATGACTAAAAGTTATCAATAAGAAATAAAGGATTTAAAATATATGACAATGATAAAATGTCTAAAAATTTCAATAAATAGATGAGAAATAAGTAAATAAATAAGAATAAATAGATCAGTAAAAATCAACTAAAAGCCAAACTAAAAAGGCAGGTCTTGAGTTTGCCTTTGAAAATATCCACACTCTCTGCTGCCCTCAGATCCTCTGGCAGGCTGTTCCACAGACGTGGGCCGTAGTAAGAAAAGGACGCCTCATCGTGGGTTTAAGTTCTAACTTCTGGAATAATTCACAGTCTACTACCAGAGGACCTGAGGGTCCTAGAGGGCTGATAGGTTAAAAGCAAATCTGATAAATAAGAAGGACCAAGACCATTAAGAACTTTAAAAACTAATAAAAAAATCTTAAAATAATTTCTGAAGCTAACAGGAAGCCAATGCAGAGACTCCAGGATGGGAGTAATGTGTGCTCTCTTTCTGGTCCTCATCAGAACTCGAGCGGCTGCATTTTGAACTTGTTGTAATGGTTTAATGATCTTCTTAGGAAGACCAGAAAGAAGAGCATTACAATAATCAATTCTGCAGGTGATAAAAGCATGCACTAGCATTAGAGAGAAACGGCCTGACTCTGGAAATGTTTTCAAATGATAAAATGCTGTTTTTGTTATATTCTTAATGTGGGGCTCAAAACTGAAGTCAGTATCAATTATTACCCCAACATTTTTTATTTTTTGACATGGTTCCAGAGCCAGTGTTTGTAGTTTTGTATGCAGTTTCTCTCTCTGTGCTTCAGACCCAATAACTAAAAATTCTGTTTTGTCCTGGTTGAGCTGTAGAAAGTTCTCTGCCATCCAGCACTTATGCACTTATCTAAAATACAGCTAAAAAGTGCATCAAGTGGCTTTGGGTCATCATGAGACACGGCAATATATAGCTGTGTATCATCAGCATAACTATGGAATTGTATGCCGTGCCTCCTGACGACCCCTCCAAGTGGCAGCATGTAAAGATTAAAAAGTACTGGACCTAAAATTGAACCTTGGGGGACTCCACAGTCCATTTTATAGCGTTTGGAGGAGCAGTCATCAATGCCAACAGAAAAATTCCCTGTTTAAAAGATATGATTCAAACCAGTTAAGAACAGTGCCAGATAGTCCAATCATAGTGTGAAGTCTATTTAAAAGAACTGAGTGGTCTACTGTGTCAAAGGCTGCAGTTAAGTCAAGTAGGACAAGTACTGTGATCTTTTTAGTGTCCATATTTGACCTAATCTCGTTTACAACCTTGACTAGTGCCGTTTCAGTGCTATGATTGGCCCAAAAACCAGATTGGTACTGTTCAAGAACTTTGTTTGAATCTAAAAACTCGTTTAACTGATTAAAAACTAGTTTCTCTAAAATTTTGCTTAAAAAGGGAAGATTTGACACAGGTTTGAAGTTATTAACAATTGATGGGTCTAGATTGCTTCTCTTCAGAAGGGGCTTCACCACAGCAGTTTTAAGTGCCCCGTCTGAAGAGAACAGTTTACTATATGAAGAACATGCTCATCCAAACAGCTAGAAACTTCTTTAAAAATGATGTGGGAATTGGATCTAAATGCAAGTTACTGGTTTTAATTTGGAAATGATTTTATAGAGCACCTCAGCATTAACCAGGACAAACTTCTCCAGTGTTTCCTCACACAGAGGTTCTTCCATACTAAAACTCTTAGGTTGCTGTAAATTTGCTCTAATAGTGTCTATCTTGTCTCTGAAGTGGACTGCAAACTCCTCACATGTGGAGTTAGAGGGCAAACTGTCTGACTTACTAAAAACTGGGTTAATTAAAAGGTCAATGGTTGTAAAAGGGAATCTGGGGTTATTGTGATTATCTTGTATAAGTTTGGAGAAATGTGCTTAGCTGATGCGTTTAATTGCCTTATTGTAAGTTATGAGTTGTTTGTGATATATCTGATAATGAACAGTCAACTTACTTTTCCTCCATCTGCGTTATGCTTTTTTAAAAGGTGAAAACGCATTTGTGCATCGAGGCTAACAGCTTGTTTCATTAACTAATTCACAGATAGCATTGTATTACTGCATGCTAGCAGTTATAAAGGGCTCACTCCCTTCAAACTCCTGCAATAAATCCTTACCTTCATGAATGTTCAGTTTTTGTTAGAGACTTGTTGAACTTTAACTTCTCCTGTTCTCCTGTTCTGTTCCTAATAATCTGACTGTTACTAATAATCTGTTCCCAATATTCCACTGAAGTGATCTGAAGTTATATCAGTAATGCTTAATTCTGTGGTGGCTGTGTGATATATTCTCTCTGTGTGTCTCAGGCCTGAGGATTTCGGAGCAGTTCGGGAGTTGGCCTTGAATCCCATCGGAGACAGAATCATAAGTGCCTTCTTCTCTCCAGGGTGCAGCAGCCTGCTAATGTTTCCTTTTTAGAGTGGATGAGATCAGATTGTTATTGACTGTAATGCTGTTTCTTATTCAGGTTTTAGACCATTAAGGACATCTCACTTACAGCTACTTTCCATAAACACTGACTAAGTTGCAAAGTGCAGCATAGGGCCTGATATTACACCCTGCACAAATCAGCACGCAGCACAGCCCGACTGTCATTGCCAGCGTCAGACCGACATGGTAGGTCTTAAAATGAGGTGTGGTTAGACCAGTGGTCGGCAACCTTTACTATCAAAAGAGCCATTTTTGGGCAAAAACTGCAATACATAACTGTGCCTTATAGTGGCTGCAATACAGCCTATTTAACACTTTCCCCGCCAGAGTTTTATTTTAGAGTTTCCAGCCACCGCCAGCATTTTTTGATCATATTCACTAATCTTTCAAGACCCACAGAATGAGTTGTTCTATGAATATGTAAACAGTATATACATGAAACTAAAGAAGAGACCTTCTGCTTTGAAACACAAGACAACATTGTATTCTGTCTTATTCCATTTCTTTTTGATCAACACTTGTGCATCTCTATTAAAAAAAAAATACAAAAAAAGCTGAAAAATAGCATTTTTTGTCAAAGACTCATTTTCAAGTATAGAATCAATTTCACATTTACAGTTTTTGTTTTTTCTCATTTCCTTATGTCAGTTTGAATTGTATGAATGAAAGTAATTAATATAATATTCTCTTACAGCAGAACACTTCACCATGTTCAGTGATCATTCAGTGTTCTGTTGTCTCCGTCTCCTCTGTGGTCGTCTCGTCTGTGTGTCACTGTCACCGTCATAGAGATCCCGTTTCGTCCGACCAAACTCGTTTGCTTCTTCGTCCAAATCAGATTCAGAATGTTGATCAAAACATGAAGTGTCGGAGTCTGAGCCCATCAATATCTCCATGGCTTTTGCAACCTTAAACTTTCCTGTCAGCGACGGCATTTTCATGCAGTTTAAAAGCTGCTACATTTCCGTCATCAGCATCTTCTTCCAGTTTCCAGCAGATCATCTTCTTCGTTTGTTTTTGGACACAGCAATGCTGTTCTGTTCCACAATGTGTGTATCCTCGCCCCCCATCTTATAACAGTGAAAACACGAATTGACAGAATATCTTGCCAATGGCGGGGAAAGAGTTAATCTAAATTAGCCTATAACAACAGCCACTGACGTTCACTTTGGAGGCTAGTGTTTGCTTCCCATATGATTGTAAAGCCAAATCCAATTTTTTTTTCCTAAACCCGACCATGTGCATGTTTTGGCTAAACGTGACCACATGTGTTTGTTGTTGACACACCCAGGGTACCTTGCACATCATATCTTAACGTTGAACATTCATGACCAAATGTTGATATCTGACGAGGTCGGAGAACGTGTTGCCTTTCCCCCTACACTTTTCTCTGGGCCCAGATTATGCCTTGTTTAACTAGCAAAAAATTAGTTAGACATGCCCTTAATGCACTTAAGACCATGGGCTATAGATTGTTTAAACAGGGCCAATAGTGTTTCCGATAATTGAACATTTTCTGCTGTCTTGTGGTATCAGTTATATAAATTATCACAGAGAAATTATTACATTTTGCATTTGTTGTTTTCGAATCACAAAGCTCTGAACTAGAGACAAATAGTTAAGAATCCAAAAAAAAAAAAAAATCTGAGAGCAGAAGATGGAGTTCGTCAGTACTTATGCAACCACAGAGAAGCATTAAATATCTCATATGACAAACTGGAACGGAGCTGGAGTTACAAGGGTTTGGACTTGACAGCAGCCGTCTTTCAGAGTAGTTTATGGTCCATCCTGTGTTTGTTAGGCACCTTGAATGGGAAACAGGAAACATTTCCCTTTCCTCTCACTCTCTCCAGACAGGAGACGGTGGACTTTCCCACCTTTGTGCGGGTTCTGGCTCATTTCCGTCCCACAGAATCAAACCGGACCAGAGATGGAGCACAGCCGGAGCCGGCCAACAGCAGGACCAGGAAACTCAAATGTCAGTTGGCTTTGGTTTGTTCTGCTCAAGCTTTTCATTTGTAGTCTATGACCTGAGATGCACTGGTGATTTTGTCTGTTTGTGTGCAGTTGCTTTCCAGTTGTACGATCAGGACAGAGATGGAAAGATTTCCAGAGCCGAGCTTCTTCAGGTCTGTAACTGTTAAACTCATCACTTTGTCTCCCTAAAACTCTATAAATGGTACTGCTTGCACTCAGACTGAGTGCTTTCAGGTAGATTTATGTGATGAAAGTTATGACTACTTCACTGCATTACCCAGAGTCCCTGCAATACAAAAAAGGTGCAACTTTAATGAAATGTTTGCATCTTGCCAGTTCACTTACAAGGGCAGTTTGGATGCAGAAAATCACAATGGATTACAATTGACCAGAGTTGTTGTGGCTTAAATATGAAAATGAATGAACACAGAAACATCTACAATGACTCCTGCAGCATAATGGACTTCTCTACTGTCCATACATATAATCAGTATCTCAAAAAAGGCCCCTTAAAATGGTTACATATGCTGTGATAAATCATACCAATGTGTTTAATGGTGCACACTTTTGGAGAGTCTTCTTGAAGGAAATCAACACAGCTTAAGTTGAAGTATGAAAAAATACATCCAACACTTAATATCCTTTAAAAACATCCTTTAGGCCAACCAAACGACGTGTTTCAATAGGAATGACAGGAGGATATAATAGTGTATCATCTGCATAGAAATCTAACCATATATTATGTATACAGAGAATGGAATAGGGCCCAGAATTGACCCTTGAGGCACACCACAAGGAAATTAAGCTTCCACATTAGTGCCAAGAGGAGCTGAGTCTAGGTAAGAGTCCAGTCATTTCTGGATGTGATTACTGATTGATCACTAACCGTGAACGACAGGTGCTGCGGTCGATGCTGGGGATGCAGGTGACAGAGGAGCAGTTGCAGAGCATCGCTGAGCGAGCCATCCAGGAGGCCGACCTGGACCAAGACGACGCCATCTCCTTCGACGAGTTCAGGAAGGTGAGAGGGAGGCAAACTGAAGTAGTGACCACATAGACAATTGGGGATAATAATATGAACCAAAACAGCACAATCATTTTAAGTAATTTGGTTTAAGTTTAGGCTACGTTCCTGATAACAGAGGCACATATATGTTTTTTTCTGCTTGATTTCTTTAAATATTAAAGAAGTAACAGTTGTTTTGTGAGGATGAAAACTCAAAGAAAATGTGTTTGCTGAAGTGACTCGTTAAGTCTTTGAACAATGAAATAAACCATTTTGCTGTAACAAAACAAGAATAAAATTGATTCAGCTAAACAAGAAATGAGGAACATTAACGAACATCGACGCAAACAGCTAACACTGAAGTCCTAAATATCATCAAATGTTCTCATTTAACAGAAGAAATTAATACTTTTAAGGAGGTGACCAAATGTCTACATGTACAATAGGAAAAGTATGTAACATAGCTTTTAACAATAAAATGATTATTTTCATTTTGTTTTCAGTCACTGGAGAAAGTGAACATCGATCACAAGATGAGTATTCGCTTCCTGAGATAAAGACATGGCTTGCTACGAGTGTGGGATTTTCCTGTTTACGTAAAAAAAAAGACAATCGGGCACTTCTTGTCTTCCTAAAACCTGCTAGAAGAGATGAAAATGGAGACAAAACCAAGTGTGAAATGTTATTTGTCTGGTAGATTCATTTTAAGATTTGAAGAGAAACAAGAAGGATGGAAGAGATCAGAGTTTGCATGGACCGTCTACACGTAACCCAAATGTATGACCACGTGGACGCAGACACTCTACGCATCTTACCGTTGGTTTATCTATCTATTTTACATAAACTAAGTAAACTACAGAAAAAATGGACATTTTCAGCTGATGGTGCTACAACAGAAGAAGAAAAGAGACCATCAAAGTCAGTAGGTTTCATGAATGTCTGTACATTTAATAAAAAACCCATCCAGTAGTGGCTGAGATATTTCAGTTTGTGTGTATTCAGCTGCTAACTAAAGCCATGAAAGCGTCCTTGTGTTGGGGATTATACAGTAAGTTGTCTGAGCCAACAAAAGTTTCAAAAAATCAACCTGCTTGATGAAAATTCATCATGAACATGTTTGCACTGTGGCTGGCTTCAGATGAAGAACATGTCTGTCTTCAGCCTCCACAGGACAGCAGGAATGTTTACAGAGACAAAGAGTGGGACAATAGAGAACTGTGGATATGGAGACTTTTTTGTTAGACCTGCTTGTTATTAAATGTTGGAATGATTGTAAAAGTTGGAACCGTCCACCTGCGATAGGGTATGTTTTTGGTTTTAGTACCATTTATTCTTCAATAAATCACTTTAAAATCATATTATGTGTCAGTGTGAGTCTATCAGCAGTTTTCTTTTAGAAATCTTTAAATTTAGAAACTGGCGTCACAATCTGTAATGAAGGCAACCCTATCACCATAATTAATGTTGTACATTACTGCAAACCATAGATACGTATATTTATACATTATTATGGAGCAGATATGTTGAATCTTTTAACAACTCAACATGTGGGTAGGTTTGGTTACCAAAACCACTTGGTTATGATTAGGAAATGATCATGTTTTGGCTTCAAATACCCAATTTGGGGGGCATAATCCCTGCTGGAAAAACAGTGATGGGTCGCTAAAAACACCCACAGCTGGAGCCTCAAAAGCTGCCCTAAAATACAAGAGATGTTTTTTGTTGGTTTTGAATGCAGTGGTCCGAAGCTTGGCATTGGTTTCACCAAGTGTTTCACCATTCATCATCCTCGACACCTCTTGGTGACAACGTCCGCTCATTTACTGGATCAATTTAGAAACACTGATATGATACGTATGAAACATTCACATGTAATGTATTTGTGGTTTGCAGAAATGTACAAAGCCAACATTCTCTTCTCTTCAACTGGGCTGATGAATGACTTTTTAAATCTATAATGTCAGAATCCAGTTACTCCACAATACTCATTTGTCTTCTGCCAATGCAGATTTTGCTTCATGAGTATCAGTCTCCCGTGGTGATTACGAAACGAAGAAGTTGAGTCCAGCCGTGTAAACTTTTTCCTTGTTCTTTATTTCTAACACAGAAATCAGGATGTTGAAAGAGCCCAGAGCCCTGGATAAGCAGATGAAAATGGATGGACGGATGGACGGACTTAGATATTCAGTCAAGCTCGCAGAAATCTTGTTGGATGTTGACAAAAGAGTATATTGCGATGAGATGAAAGTCAGATCTCCCATTACCTGCTGGACTGTGGCCCTCCAGAGTGAACAGCTGCGTAGCTCTGGAGGAAATAACTTACTCACTAAAGGTAAGATAAAGTCTTTCTATGAAGTATGGCAACCTTTTATTAACTACATGGAGAATCCCCCATCTCACGTGATTGATTAACTGTCTGCATGTTCTCTTTATTCTCTCTTTATTCTATCTCTCACCTGCTTTCTTTGTATTGTACTACCTAATTTTATTGGTTACATTTTTATTTGCATTGTGATGTACCAATTTATTTTATTGTCTGTTTATTTTTGAGGCGTTCGTAATGTAAAATGGGTGTTTGTGTTCTGTCTTGGCAGTTTTAGAAAGTTACAAAAGCCCCCCACTTTACGCACCCTTGACACCCTTGATAGCACTATATGACATCAGTTTAGGAACGCTCATGTGATACGTGTAAAATGTGCAAATGTAGCGTATTTGTAATTTGCAGAGACAATGCCAACATTTTCTTCTGCCGGCTGGGCTGCACGTCAGGTCTACATGCTGCCTTCTTAACACTGCCAGCATCTCAAAAATACTGCAAACAGCCCTAAGAATACCTCCAAACTTTGCAGAGAAAATCAAAACAGATGGCTTTGCACACAGGAGAGTATTGTCATATTGACAACAAACAAACTGATGATTCAAAGTTGGAAGAACACTACTGTCTAAAAAGTAGGACACTCAAACATTGAGATTCTAATAAAGTACATTTAAGTATGCTGGAATATGTAGACAGGTGTATCCACATACTTTTGGCCATGTAATGTTTGTGCTTCCTGTACAAAAAGTTGAATGTTGAGTTAATTAATTTTTATTTTAGCCTGAGAAATCATTACAACAGAATTAGTGGCGTCATGATGTAGCTCCTGTTTAACACCACCAGGTGGGGACGTTGCTATGTATTCACTTCCTCCAGCAGTCACTGTTGTGTAACAGCTGGAGAGGATCAGAAGCACGCAGCTGCCATTCCAAACTCTTATTCCAATTTACTTTTGCCTGTTTTACTTTGCTCTTGGAGTCACATCTGTCAGATGCCGTCATGGTGGGGTTCCTGCACTTTGTCTTCATCTGTGTTTGACCTCAATCCTGCTGTTTGTAGGCTGAGGGACTTTGTGTGGAGCCGGAGCCCTGAGGTCCGAAACTTTGGAGTGAAACTTTGGAGCTCCTTACTTCACACCACATCCTCCCTCTCTTGATCTCTGGATGAAAATAAATGATCTGAAAGGAAGTCTGCAGACATTTGGCTCTTGAGTGATGATGGAGGAGAACACTAATACAGATTAGTTCAAGAACCCACATTTGATTTTGAAATCTCAAACCCCCTTTGTGCAATGTGGAAAAAATCATCAACGCTCGTGCCATGTTCTTTTTTTAGGATGTGGGGAACTTTATGGAACAGTTGCATTTACACCAAAAACAAAAACTCCTCAGTTAGATTCACAAAAACATCAAGGTTTGGCTTCAAATATACACACACCAGCCATTTAAAAGGTACAGCTGTTCATCCACTCATTAACACAAATAGTTAATCAGCCAATCACATGGCAGCATCTAAATGTATTTAGGCATGTAGACATGGTGAAGACGAGCTGCTGAAGTTCAATTTAAGTGACTTTGAACGTGGCATGGTTGTTGGTGCCAGACGGGCTGCTCTGAGTATTTACTGGGATTTTCAGCACAACCATCTCTAGGGTTTACAGAGGATGGTCCCAAAAAGAGTAAATATCCAGTGAGCCAAAATGCCTTGTTGATGTCAGAGGTCAGAGGAGAATGGCCAGACTGGTTCAAGATGATAGAAAGGCAACAGGAAGTCAAATAAGCACTGGTTCCAACCAAGGTGTGCAGAAGAGCATCTCTGAAGCAACAACACCTTGTCCAACCTTGAAGCAGATGGGCTACAGCAGCAGAAGACCACACCAGGTGCCACTCCTGTCAGCTAACAACAGGAAACTGAGGCTACAATTCACACTGGTTTTCTCACCAAAACTGGACAACAGAAGATTGGAAAAACATTACCTGGTCTGATGAGTCTGGATTTCTGCAGCGACATTCAGATGGTAGGGTCAGAATTTGGCGTAAGCAACATGAAAGCATGAAAAATTAAGGCAGCTCTGAAGGCAAAAGGGGTTCCAACCTGGTACGAGCAAGGCGTACCTAATAAAGTGTCCAGGAAGTGTATATGACACGTCACGTGAAATCACTCATATGATATATGTTGACATGATTTTATTGTCAAAATAACTCAACTCATTGACTTTTACTTTCACACAGGCAGAGCCGGAGTTTCTTTGATGAACAAGAGACAATAACAGAGACAATAACAGATTATAAAATGAGCTTCCTTAACAAAACCTGACAGCATTTTGTGCCATTTTTGCTTACAAATAGTCAATAATAAGCTCAAAGATGGGCAAGTGGACAGTTTGGGTCGGCTAAGTAATTTACTCTCCCCTATGAAACAAGCACTCTCATGATTCTTTGGTTAAAATAAATCTACTGAGGTTAATAATAAACAAATACTGCAGTCTGTTTAAACAGCCTGGTCTCGATACCAGAGCGCCAAAATAGGCTGCTTGGGCAGTGTGTTAGGTGTTATTATAATGATGGCATTAAAGTGAAACACACCAGGCTTTCAGTCAACTCCAATGTAAACCCATCTACACCATTATTAGATGGTCAGAGCAACAGATATGGTTTATGGAGCATGAAGGTCCGCACAGGGTGGGTGGTAGTGTAGGTGGATGGACCTACAGGTTACAACAGTGGTGTGGAGTTTGCGTCACTCAGAGTCAGGTGCCTTAACCTAACCGCTGAGCCCTTCTTACCACTGACTCTTTGTGTCAAGCTGCAACGCAAAAGGCTGACCCCAGTCTCATTTTAGTGACGCCCAGGGCTTCTGTGGCAAAATAGTACGAGTATGGATGAGAACGTGCTGATTTAAAGATAGTGTTGCTTAAAGTCGGTCTCACTTAGGGCCCATCCCAATACCCCCCCTTAGCCCTACTCCTCAGCCCTACCCCTACATTTGCGCGTTCCCACGAGGGGTAGTGGTGTCCCAATTCCTTTTTGCGTGTAGGGGTAGGGGGCGTAACGAGGGGTAGTGGGTATGAAACTAGCCCTTCGGAGCGAAGGATTTCAGATGCTGACTTGCCAGTGAGGGGTAGATATCGCCATGGCTACCACAGAGCAAGAGACGGGGAAAAAAGTTCATACATGTATGTATAATTTCGCAAATAAACATGGAACTTTTGTAAAAACGTTTTTGAATAAATGTCTATTTGTGGAGTGAATGGTATAACAATTTGTTATTGCTATTCACAGTGTCTAGATTGGAGTTGACAGAAAGCTAGCCAGCTAGCTAACGTTAACTTTACCGTCGTCAGGTTGCTTGTTAGCTAGCTCGCACTGTCTGGCGTCTGTCATCTGTCCTGTTCTGCAAAATTGTCGGATTTTTCGCATTACCATAACATGCCAGCTAGTATAACTATGCTGCCTCGTAATATTAGCTGGTTAGCTAGCTAGCTAGCTAGCTAGCTGAAGTCCCGTCGTCTGTCGTTCATCAGACGAAGCATGATGAATACAGCAAACGCGATAGGTAGGATGAACTCAACCGGAGACTCCATTGTAGATGCCGGTTGGAAATGTAGATGGCTCGCAGCTTCCTGTTTAAAATAGTTACGTATGAAAATAGAACGTAACTGATGCGGTAACGTAGTGAGTGATGTCCCAGTTCCTAGGGAAAGATTTCAATCCCTACCCCTCGTTGCTTCATTTTGAGGGCCAAGGGGTAGTGGACAAAGGGGGGTATTGGGATTGGGCCTTAGTCTTTACATGCTTATTTATACAATGAATGTGCTTAGAGTAATATTTACAATATACAAGTTAGTTCAGTGCCATGTGAACACGTTACAGTGGGCGGGCCCCCAAATCAAATCATGCTTATGGCCCCCAAAAGTCTAGGGCCGGCCCTGCGCACAGGACACGAGCACTGGTCCCCTGGATTTAAGTCCAGTGCTCGTTTGACCCACCCACCTGAGCACTTTGTCATACTTTATGCTACGTCACCTGACCACCTCCTTTGCTCCTTTCATAGGTGCTCCAGTCACAAAAGGTCGCCGTCTACCAAAAGACATAAATATGTGCCATGATTTCTGCTCATAAAAATGACATGGTGGTTGTATTTCAGAAGACAGTCTCTAATTTTCTGCTGAAATGCTGCAGATGCCGCTCTACAGAAAGAAAATTTATTGTTGGTTTGGACTCAGTGGTGTTAATGGACCTTATTTTATGGCCTAAACATCTTTAATTTAATATTTAATTTAATAGTTAACGTCAGTCAGAACCCAAAGAGACACAAATGAAACTCTGGAGGCGTTGAGATTAAATCTTTTTACACTTTTTACATATTCATCTTTGCCATGATCAAAGTACAACGACTTGTCATAAAATCAAATAGAATTGTACACAACAAACATTAGTGTTAGACGAAGCCAGGCGTCGTTCTCCATGCGTTAGACTGAGCCCGGGGCTGGTTTCTTCTCTATGCTTTTTTCTGAGGCAAGCAGGCCATGAGCAGCCAGTACAGAGAGTAGCAGGTTCCTGCAGAGAAGACAAACACATCAAGACACTGAGGACTCTCACTTTAAGGTTATCAGTGGTTATTTATTTACTTTAAATAATAATTAAGTCCTGGTAGATTTTCAGGTATGGTGACTTTATACTTCTGCTCTACAAATATTTGTTGGAGCTGTCTGGTTAAAGCTAGATGTAATTCACAGATGAAGCTGTTTCAGTCCGTTAAGCCTCTGAACCAAACTGTCTGCACACGTTACCTCCAAGAGTTAGCGTCATGGTCGCCCGGTAGAGCACAACGTCAAAGGTTCCCCCCTTGATGTGGACTGGCAACCCTTTGTCCTCCTGTAATCGTGGAAACCACATGGTGAGAACAGTGTGTGCGAATGTGTTAGCATGAAGCCTGATATTACTCAGCACAGTAATGAGCTGGAGGGAGCTGATGAAACAAACTGAACATTAACGGTAATAATGTTCTCAGTTCTCCCCTCGGCTGCGTGTGTCAGGAGGCTTTTACATGTGTTTTCAGTAGAATTTGGCCAAGCGGTTGCAAATAAAAACTTCTCCTCAAGTCCTGTCATGTTGTTGTGTTCTGACCTCCAGCTGTTTCTGGACATGGTCCCTATTTTGTGGAATAATTGCTGCCAAATGCCACAAAAGGCTTTGAGGTCTGAGAGCTGTGGGGGATAAGACGTTTTGGATATTTTGATGGTAATTAAAGAATTAACTTGTTTTATTCCAACTGACCAGCCCATATGGCAAAGATCCAGGTGTTACTCTAGACTTTATGAAAATAATGGACGTAGCCAAACTCAAACTTCCTTAATGACTAGGTGATAAATGCAGACGGTTGTTCTGTACAAGCAGCTTTTTACATTTATTGTTAGATGGCAATCACTAACAGCCATAATAATTATGACGGCAGCAAAGGAGTTGGGTGATGTAGTTATAAAGAGCAGGGACCAGTTGCACAAAACAGTTCCCATGCAGATTGTTTGTTTGCTTGGACTCTTGTAACACCTATTACCATCCCACTCTTTAAGGTGGCTTATAGTTACTGACAAAATGTCAGAAGAAAAGAAGAGAAGAAAACCATACTGGTCAGAGGAGGGAAAGATTAAACTTTTAGAGGAGTCAGTCAGTCAAATCTAAAGTGTAAAATCAAAAGCATATCTGTCGGGTTCTCCTGGTCGCAGAACACTCTGCTCAGGATGTGTTAGTTCTTTTCATTTATCACCATAAACGTGATCACACTGCAGTGAAGACAGAGTCAAAGGTACCTTAAGTTTTGTTTTTTTATCTACCTTGCTTTGGTTGCTAAGGTCTTTTGTGCAACGGTCTAGGGATTCCTTAAGTATAAGACCAAGACAAGGAGAAAACCATGGAAACCTCAAGGAGAAGACTTAGGTGTGTTTTGTGCGAGCGATTTTATTTTAAGGAAACCTTAACTAGGACTCAAGGGTGTTTTGTGCAACCAGCCTCTGAGACTTAAAAAAAATAAATAAAAATTTGGAGCCAAAGTTTTTGGACTCCTGTTTTGAAGCAGCTCCGTCGCCAGGAGAAAACGTTGGCATCATACGTTTATGGATCAAATCAACGTTTGTAAAGTGACGTAATGTACGTGCTGACTTTGTCATCTGGAGGTAGAGGGGATGGCAGGTGGTGTGACACCTGGACGAGACAGTTGGTTGTGACGGTTGTTTTAACAAGTCGTTGCTGTTTTTCTGGTCGCAACAATAAAGGTCTTGGACTTGATGTTAACATGAGCCTGTGTGTCATCGACTTTGTTCTTTTGTGGTTTTAAAAAATAAAACCAGTTGCACAAAACACCTTAAGAAAAACTCTTCTTCTGATGTGGTGAGTTTTTCCTTATCTGCTGTGAGGGTCCAAAGGACAGTGGGATGTCGTATGCTTTAAAGCCCTCTGAGGCAAATTGTGATTTGTGATATTGGGCTTTATAAATAAAACTGATTGATTGAATTCCCCAACAAGTTTGTGATCAGTCAGATTACCAAAGGTTTGACCTTGAGTCTGAGGCCTCGCTTTCCCCCTCACCCAGCCTTGGATATGAGATTCAGAAACATTAATAAAAACTGCTTTGCCAATGACTTTTACCAACTGTCCTCCCTCTTCTCTTCTCTACAGTTAACGTTACCTGGAAGAGTTTCTGAGCCTCAGGGACTCTGTTCCTCAGCTGTCTGGCGGAGCTGCTGAAGGCACGGCTGGCCAGAACTGGAACTTTCTGGAAAACCACAAAGATGTGGGAAATTTAGTTTGGATGATTGTGAGGATAAAGCACAGATAAATAGGACACAACAGCAGTTTAAATACCCCGAGGCTCATGCAGTGGAGATTTGAATGTGTTTAAAAGGACTTTGCATTTTGCATCTCTGCTCGTTGATGTTCCAGCATGTTCCATGTCCATCACACATGTCTGACTCCTGTCAGCGGGACCTCCGACTGTTTTCCTGGAACAGTCGGAGGATCTTAAATCAGTGCGTATTTTCTCAGCTAGGCTTCTGTATGCAGGACGTTAACTTATAGGAGTTTTTTCTTTTTCAAAAGTCAGTAAATCTTTGAGTCTGTGATGATCCGATAGTTTAACCAAACTGTTGTGACTCTGTGACACGACAGTGACACAGGTGAAAGAGGAAGGGAGAGTGGCGCTGGGACTTGTATCATTTCTGTTTTCCAGAGCAGAGGAGGCCGCTGGGAGCTGACAGATGACACACTGGTTCCAGGTGTGGTTTCACTGGTTACTGTGGTTTTATATGACTGAAAGCTTCACTGCACCTTTGTTTTGTTTTCTGCCTTTTTGATGCTCTGGTGTGAAAGTGATTCTCGCTTTGTTCCTTTTTTTTGTACCATCGCACAGGACGTCATCATCAGGAGCCAAACTGAGGTCTGTCTGACACCCGACACGCTGCAAACCAACTGTGCTTCATTAGAACAGACCAACATGTCTTTTCTGCACAGTTTTGTGGGAACTTTATTTCCACTTGACAATAATAAGTTGCATTGTTAAAACGTCTGTAGATAGATAGATATTCAATCTATTTGGCAGTTCAACACGTTCTCCTCCGAACTCATCAGATCCCGCTGCTTTGTCAGTGGACTTAAAGGTCAAAATATGACCCACCAGGTGGCCTTGTGTGTTGGTTTGGATGTTCATGGACAGCGTCTCCATTTACACAGGAAATGTACACTTTGTGCTTGTTAAATGTCTTTTTTTAATTAAACTTAGAACTCAGGTGAAACACTGTGTTTTTAGGTTTATTTCCTTTAGTTTAGGCAACAAAAGCAGAAGGTTAGGTTTAGAAAAAAACCTCATGGTTTGGCTCACAATAAGTACCGTTCTCACTAGCGTCATGTCACATCATGCGACATACATCATGTGACATATGCAACTACTGTAGCATGCTACATATACCAGCACATTCAGTGTTATTAAAGTCACACAGTAATCAACCAGCCAACCTGGTCTCTTCCTGTGTCAGACACCGCCGAAAAAAGCCGTCCTTTAACGTCGGCATGATATGCAGCCAGTCGCTGTTATTGTTCCATGGTGCCCAGCAGCGTCAGGGGGAAATAACTCGGTGGGACAACAACGAAAGTTGAGGCGGGGAATAGGGCAGGCGGGCGGGGTGGTGGATGGGTCCAACAACCCAACTTTCACTGAGAAGGCTGGCATTTGCTTCTCGTATGATTATGAAGCCAAACCCTGTTCTTTTTTCCGAAACCCAACCACATCAATTTGCAGTGTTGTACCGATGTAGTGCTTTTATTTTGAAAGAGACTGTATGCAAACTGTACATTTCCTGTGAAAACAGAAGTGTATTTTGAAAACAGACAATGCATGTAACAGGCTGAAGTTGACACGGCGTCCCAGAACGTCAACAACCAACACACCCAGGGTACCTTGGACGTCATATGTGGACGTGGAAAGTCCATGACCAAACGTGGACATGTGACGAGGTCACAGTGAGGATGTGATGCCAAAAGTGACGCAGGAGGGTACCTAGTGCGTCACATTTTGACGTGTAGGTCCACTGACAAAGTGTTACAAGTGACTACAGTGTTATTCACTTTTTTTTTACAGCAGTTAATAACTGCTGATTAATAAACACCAAAAAATTTTAGCCTATTAACATGCAGATTGTTGATCTGTTCATACAAATGTAAATGAGGAAAAATCTGTCTCCATAGAAGTTTTCAACAAACAACATTATTTTAGAGGTCACTCTGAGCTCACAACAGCTCCGATATAATATATCATTGGAAATGTGTGGACTGACCCAATCTGGAGCTCAAACACACTTTAACCAAAACTTCAGATAATTTCAACTTTAATCATGATAACGTTCTGTGATGGTACTCTGAGTTTCAGACGCAGCTGCACACGCAAACACACTCTCTGCCTTGTTTAAAGATACTTTGTGTTTCGTTGCTTTTCACCTCACAGTCTATACAAGAGTCACTTTGCTGTCTCTTTAAGAAAGCTTCATGACTTTTTAACTGTCTGCCAAGGTCACATTGGGTTTCTGCGGGCAGGACTGACACTCCTGACAGCCAATCACAGCCTCTGAACCTGACACTTCAACCAGTCAGGAGGCAGGGGAGGGGAAGTGTGTGTATGCCAGTGTTATGAGGGTAAATTGTGCCAACTGTGGTCTGTGAGTTCCACACTAGTGTTCTCTGTGTTTGCAGTCAGGTGGTGTTTGCTCGACCAATGAGAGCTCGTTTCCTTAATGTAAATAACTTAGGCCGAAGATAAACAGCAGCCTGAACATGGTGCTCATCACATGTAGATCATTAATACAGCACGGCAGAGGAATCAAAGTTTTTAGTGTTCAGAATCATATTCAAACAACTGCATTAATCCCAGCAGGGACAATTAGCTCACCTTGCACACACACTGTAACATACAGTAACATGTAGACACATTAATAGATGAGGAATGAACAGAAATCAAAGATAAAAAAAAAAAAAAAATGTGGCAAGGAGTCCAGTGGATTAGAGGAATCTATTAATATTTTTTAAAAAGTTAATAGACGTATAATCAATAATATAATAATAATAAATACTAAAAAATAGAAATAAACAGTAGATAAAATAAAGCAGAGGGAATTAAAGATTTTGACACCGGTTAATTTTACAAGCAGGTAAAACGTAAAAGTGTCCTGACGGCAACCAGGAAACTAAAAAACATTATATACAGTATGTGCTCTCTGGAGGACCTGTTGATCTGTAAACTTGCTTTGCTGATTAATTATTATTTATGTGACTTTAACTCATTGACTTTTCTAATCCATTATGTTGTCTGTCTTTGCCTGTAAGGTGACCTTGAGTGTCTTGAAAGGCACCTATAAATAAAAGGAATTATTATCATTGTTGACTGCAAAAAACGGTCACTTCCTGTCTGTGATCTTAGAGCAGATTATTATATATTTAGACTGTTTCTGTCTTTCATTGTGAGGCTGTGAAACATGCAGATCAATACACTTGATTGCTGCATTTCCAGCAGCGTCTGTTCCCCCAAAGCCAAACCTGATCTCTTATTAACCATAACTAGATGGTGTTTGTGCCTAAACATGACCACACATGAACCACAGACTTGTTGAAACATAAACAAAGTTTCAGTACACTTGCTGCATAGTAATCTACAACAATCCGTGTATCTGTGGTTTGCACAAACGTACACCAGTACTAACGTTGTTTTCTGACCATTATTAATTACTATGAAAATGTAAAAATAATTCATTACAAGTAAAAGTCCTTCTGCCGCAACTCAAGTAATAGCAAAGAAGTATTTTGAGCTAAATGTACTTAAAGTATCCAAAGTTAAAGTACTCAGTGGGCACAAGACTGACATGTAATTAAATATATTACCAGACTGCTGTTGGTAAAGAATAAACCATGTAAGCAGTATTAAAATGTTACTGATAATACGGTAAATAATATGAAAGCATACTGATGCCACGCCAGGAAAAACAAACAAAACAAACTATATAATAAATATAGATTATTTATTATTGATTAAATCAATTAAATAAATATTATTTAAAACTATATAATTATTTATCTTCTTATAATGTGAAAAGTTTTTTTATTCTCCAAGAAAAGTTTCTTGATATGGCATGAAAATATCTTTTTTTTTAAAAAAAAACAAAAAAAAAAAAACCAACTTTCCATATCATTACCTGGTACTGATCTTTATTATTATTACTATTATTATCATTACTTTATTTATTTTAATATTCTTGTTTTTTTTTTTTGTTTGTTTGTTTCTGGCCTGGCAGCTCTGCACTTCTACTAACTGAATCAAATCTCGATCAACAAATGCAACATTTCTAATATAATAATGAGATTTGGATGTAAGACATTATTCTGAGGTGTAAGCAGTGGTGGAGGAAGTATTAAGAACCTCTACTGAAAATAAAGTAATATAACCACACTGTAAAAATACTCTGTTACTGGTAAAAGTCCTGCATTGAAAATAAGTAGAAGTATGTAAGTACAAACAGGAGGATGTATTAAAAGTAAAAGTACTCTGATTAAAACATTAAATAAGTACATTATTGTAATAAAAGAAAAATGCTGCAAATCCTGATACTTGAGAAGCTGAAATATTTTTTTGCATTTGCCTAAAAAATGACCTAAAAGATTATCAGAATAGTTTCCAATTAATTTTCCAATCAATGAACTAATCGTTTCAGCTGCAGCTGTGTGCAAAAATATTAATTTGTAAAGTAACTTAAATATCCAAATAATAGTAGTGTTGCAAAATGTACAATATTCCTTTTTAAGTAGAAAGTAGCATGAGATTAAAATTCTTAAGTAAAGTAAAAGTCCCTCAAATGTGTACTCTAGTACAGTACTCGAGTAAATATACCTAGTTCCACTCCACCTCTGAGTACAAGTACCTTAAACTTGTATTTTAAGACGGTATTTAAATTTTGCGGATGATGAACAGACAGAATCAGCTGAGAATGTAAACATGTCAGCTGTGTGTGTGTGTGTGTGTGTGTGTGTGCTGCAGGTTCAACAAGTTTCTGCGTGTGTGTACGTGCAGAGCTGCATCGTCCCATTAGCACCAGGATACTGGTATAACAGTCAGACGCTGCAGCAGGTCACGTGAGGTGATCCTGCCGTCTGTATGAATATATGTTTATATATAGATCATGTGTTCACCTCGTATGACACCAGCAGACACCGGAATAAAATACAGCTCCTCAGAGTCAGACACAGAGAAAGTTTTACACTTCTGTCCTCCACAGTACAAAGGTCAGGCCTTAACCCACATTCTTCCTGCACAAACACACAGTTTATTCTATCCTCTCTCCTCTTGATCTCATCTCTTATCACCTGACACGAGTCCAGAAGCTGCAGACACACAAACAGAGACAGAAGACAGACAAAAGTTTGAAGAAAAATAATAGTTACCAGGAGGTGATTCATGTCTGTGGCTGTGTGTGTGTGTCGAGCTGCGCTGCCTCGCTTCACCCTGACAAGGACATGCGCACACACTCACACACACACTCAGAAACACACACACGTACAGTATCAGTGTTTTCTGAATCTCTGCCAAACTACGATCTGCTGTAGAGGCCAAACTGTGTGCGCTCGGCAACACGCAGGAAACAAACACAGTTAATATGAAAGCAGCTTTTTTACATTTCATTTCATGCACATTTTATTTTTTTATGCAGAGATCCAGAGCTACAGAAGACAGAAAGGTGCAGGCAGAGTTTCAGAGCAGTTTTACAGGTTATTTTGAAGATGAGTTTGTAGTAAGAGAGCTGTATTAAACTATCTGCAGTCCCTGGGCAGCAGAGGCAGAAGAAGAATTCAAATCCTTTCCTGCAGTAAAACTTCCATGGAAGGGATGGGTCTTTGGGGCCCAAAGTGGAAAGAGTGTTTCAAAAATACACAAACAGAGATACACAGATGCCAAACAGCTGCAAAGGCCCACAGCATGTATTACAGAGACTCATAATTTATTCTCTTATGTCTAATGTTTAAAGCATGTTCAGATGTGTCCATTTGTGTGCTATGTAAGGTTTAATGTATTTAATGTTTAGGGCATTTTTTGCCTTTAATTGATAGGATAGTGAAGTGGAGAGAGAGAGGGAGTGACATGCAGCAAGGGGCCACAGCCTGGAGTCAAACCCGGGCCACTGCTGCAACAGCCTTGTACATGGGGCGCCTGCTCTACCACTAAGCCACCGACGCCCCTAAATGTGGCCCCCAGCTAATGGGGATCCTAACAGATAAACAAGCAGACAAAAGGACTACAAAGAGACACAAAGCAACTACAAAGAGACACAAAGCAACTACAAAGAGACACAAAAGGACTACAAAGAGATGCAAAATGACTACAAAGAGACACAAAGCAACTACAAAGAGACACAAAAGGACTACAAAGAGATGCAAAAGGACTACAAAGAGGTACAAAATGACTACAGAGAGACACAAAGCAACTACAAAGAGATGCAAAATGACTACAAAGAGACACAAAGCAACTACAAAGAGACACAAAATGACTACAAAGAGACACAAAATGACTACAGAGAGACACAAAGCAACTACAAAGAGATGCAAAATGACTACAAAGAGACACAAAGCAACTACAAAGAGA